AAAAGCATCAAGCATATATAATAATATATCGAAGAACATGAAGAATCGAGACATACTCACTGGGCATGAATAGAAGTGGGAAAGAAATGTCGGCATTTTTGCAGTCATGAAAGTAATAATTCGAGAAGAAGGCTCGAGAAGCGAAACAAAACATCAAGTTCTGAAGACCTGTTTCTTCCCAGGAATTATTTTTTCTCCACCGTACACTAATAAAAATTATTTCMACGTACTACTTACAGAACAAAAAGATATTAGGATGAATCAGAAGAACTTCGTCGTTGATGGCCACACATGCTATCGATTCAACGGGTGCCCCTGGTCAAAAGCGACCACCACACGTTTTGACTGTGTCAGAGATCATCGCAACTACAGGAACGTACGTGCGAAACGTACCTGTTTCAACTCTAACAGAAGTGTAATTAATGTAATCCCTGCAAATAAATGCTYGTATGCCAAGGTACATGCACTGGCGCTATTTGAAATGGCTGATAYACCGTAGAAAATGGGTTGTCAGCAGAATTCTCGACCTCTATTTTTTGTCATGACATATTCTGTTGAACTACGAAATACAGTTCTTCGTACTGGYAGTACGTAAAAACTTCATTCTTCTGCTACCTGCTACTGTATTATAGAATTCGCAAGTCTTCACAAAAACACCAGCATCCAAACCATTTTATTTCCCTACCTTACCCATTCAGGTCCAAAATACTAYGTGACAGCTTATTAACAGTAGGGATTTTACAGAGCACTACATGGGGAACAATAGCGTTTATTTCTGCAATTTCAGACCAGGCACTGGAAGCTGTCAATATTAAAAAAGGGACTACTATTTTATAGTATTGATTTCGAGGACTCGCTGATACGGAGGGGGCTATGAGGAGGCCTACTGATAGGGAGGATTCTGCTGATACAGAGGATGCTACTATGGTGGAGGATCTACTGATATTGAGGAGGTTCTTTTACGGAGGATGCTGATAGTACAGAGGAGCTACTGCTGCTGCTACGGACAAGCTGATGATACGGCATCTGCTTCTTACTACACAAGGATGCAATTTTTGCTCCTGCTGGTGCTTAGATCTAGCTACTGTTGTTTCTTCTAAACCGCTCAGCCAATCAATCCACAACTTCCAGATCCTTGAGCCCTTAATGTAAGGATTAGTAGAAAATTTGTCTTGTGAGCGTGATTGGTTGGATATTGATGAAGAACTAAAGAGGTGACAGCTTGCTATGCTGGAGATTGTGTTAATGAGTTTTTTTTCAGAAATTTGGTGTGCAGAGAAATCAACTAGCCTGAAAAGGTTCTCTGGCAAAAAAACATACAATATGCACATGCATGTATCAAAAGAGAAGATAAAACCCTTTCTGACTGACAGATTCCCTAATTTTGATTGGTGGTTTCTTAGCACTAACAAGGAAGCAAAGCTTGCTTCTGACAGCTAAAAACTGGTGAGTTTTCAATATACTCATAACCTGTTAGACAATATCAATAGTCTTATTTTGAACTCAAACAACTACCASTTAATTGGTAATAAAATGTTTTTACTGTAAAAAACCTACTGAACCCTACTTGGAGAAAAGTAACTTTACTCCAGGCAGAAAATTTATTACTTGTAAAATCGCGGTTAATTTTGAAGCCCAGTATTTATTACTGATCCTACATAGATCTACTACTAGTAGTATTTGGTCACTCTTTCAACCCCACACAGTTCAATGCATGAGCTAACCACAACAGCTCCTGAAATGCCTTTAATGAGATCCCCTTTGGGGATATGCTCAGTCATAGTGTTAAGAAGAGTGCTGTGTGTCATTGTTAAATRATTAGAGCCCAGGGGGGAGCCAGTCCTCCATTAACAGCCGGCATGGCCAAATTGGCCAGTGGAGACTGGCTGCTGGTTAGAAAATAGGCCAGGAGAACTCTATCAAAAAACTTCTTTTGTCCACCACCATACTAAGGGCCCAGACCAAGTTGATACAAAGGATGCTCTAACAGCTTAGAACTAGTCAGCCAAAGTTACAGTAGTGGGTGGCCAGAAATCATTAATTCTAGGTGTAATTTTATTGCTGATTAACTGCTGGTACTCACAGCAACAAATAAATTGTAAATTACTAGTATGTTATGTAATTTCCTTATTATTGCAGAAATGAAAGATGTCTTCATGTCATTTATACTAGGAGTTATAGTATTAAAAAAGGAGCAGCACTAGTACTTTACTAGTAATATAACAACTACTTGGTACATAGCATCACTACTAGTACTACTACTAGTACTTGTAGTGCTACTAGTACAACGASTACTTATCTAGYGCACTGGACATCCCCAAGCCCAGCAGCTCTTTTCTGTCTAGCAATGCTGATAAGTGATAAAACCCCTTCTGATTCGGTTTGAAATCGGTTAGGAGAAAGCAGCCGAGAGCCGTAAGTGCAGTCGGAACAAAAAAATTTGAAGTGTATCTCTTGACTCATGCAATGTTCGATTTACTATGAATCACCTTWACGCATTTTTCAAACAGCAAGACGATGATGCGAGTATCCGTGCCCTTTTTTACGCAGTAAAAGAATTGGCGCTCTGTGTGTGCTAGGTTTCGTTTTTCGAAGAAAAAAGGATTTGCACGAAAAGGTTTTGATGGTCGTCCTTTTCAAAACCATGAGACGAGACGCATCAAGCAAGCATGTTCGTCGAAATCCATTTGGGCCGCGAACRAATACATTTCTTCCTGAACAATCCAGAAAAAGCGTTCATTGTTTCAAGTTTTTAATAATRTTTCTAGCACGYCTTCCGGGAAGAATCGCAATTCAAACAGCCRTTGTTTATTGTATTGTATGACGCTAGCGAGTTCCAACGCAAGTGTAGCTTTCGTTGTTAGTTTTGGTTTTCGAAACGGGTATCCTCACAAAGCATAGAGCTTGCCGTATCCGACGGCAAATACAAACGCTCGGCGTTCAATTTTGGAAATGCAATGTAGCACGACACGGTACTACCAAGTACGCAGTGTTATGTTTCGTTAATTGCCTCCGAACGGCCACCAAGACGATCCACCCGAGGGTTCCTCCTKCGTATTGCTAAAGGACGTCGAAGAATCGTTCGTGGAAAACGTAGTGGGGGTATCGAACGGRTCGCCCGTTGTGTTCGAGGTCGAGGCGCTCGACGGCGGCGGCGCGGACGTCGCCGGCGGGGGTGCCGTTGGGCCGCCGATTCCGGCGGGGAATAGCCCCCCCTGTGTGGGCGGCGCCGTGGGGTCGTATCGTTGCTGGTCGGCGATCATCTGGTCGGGACTCGGTGGTGCAAACATCTTCCCGAGCATGATTCCCATCCCCTCGATCAGCGCCAGCAGGACRCCGCCCACCATTGCGGCACTGGCCGCGGCCTGGGGCCCCGCCCGGAGCGCAAGTGTGCCACCGGTGGCGGCACCGCTGATGATGGAATTCCACGGGTCTTCCTTTTGCCGAACGGCGGTCAGCGAGCAATCGTAGCACGCAAAGATGCCCCCCCATATGGCGAACTGCCCCCCCAGAACGGGCGCCCGCGCCTGGATGGCGGACAGGGATCCCGCGAGGCGGGCCCCGGCGGGGGCCATTCGGGCGCCCTTGATGGAGTGCCAGAGGCCTCCTCCGATGTTGCCCATGCAAAAGGCACCGCCCACGTCGTCGATTATCCTCCACGGACAGGGTTCTCTGTCGGCCATTCCGGATTGGCGTGTCATGGTGGCGTGCTGTTCTTTTCGTTTTTCGCTGCTGCTGCTGCTGTGTATGGATCTGGATTCGGTTGTGGATTCGGTCTCTCCTTGCGGTGTGTACCGTCCGSGTTGTCTCGGGTTCGATTGATTCTTGTTGGCTGCGAGAGCAACTTTCAGAAACTGTCTAGTGGTATCTAGCGAGGAAGCAMTAGTAGTATGGACACCGGGATTTGCCTCTGGATGGTAACGAKGCCTTTTGATACAGGGATGAGCGTCGTTGTTGGACGTGTATCGTCAATATCCTGCTGCAGGTTTGACCACAACAACGGCAGTTTTCATTTGCAGAGAAACCACGTTGCATACCCTACTGAATTTGCGTAAATAGCAACGAGAAAGGAAGAAGTCGAAAGAAAAAAATGGAGGGAAGAAAACAACGGCTGCTGCCGCGACAAAAACGGGACTAGATCCAGTCATGACCMGGTTGTGGTTATGAGCCAACAAAATCCCTAACAAAAAACTAACTCCAACCAACCAAGTCGTCTCTCGAATGGGAACAAGAGGCCGGTCGGTCGTTGTCACGAGAAAAACTTCAGTTCTCGCGGTAGCGAACCGGATACGGTACGAGTTGCAATCGAACTTTGCCGCACGGTCCGGTACTCGTACCTTGTACTCGKTCCCATCTTCGAAAGAACCGAAAGCGTGAACAAGCACAAGGCAGGATAGAAAATCCTAAACAGTGGGCCGCCAAACAACTTGCTCTGAAAGTGGGTACTTAYTTAGAGAGGTGCAAGGCAACAAACCAATACAGAGAACCCGACAAATAGTTCAATTCAACCGGCCCAAACATGGCGACGAGAGCTGCGAACCATCTCAGCGCCGCCGACACYATTGCGAAGGATGTGGAGCTGCTGGATTCGATCGATTTGTCGTCCACGATGGACCTCCACCGGACGAACCTGATGCGGATGCAGGTCGCCGAATTGCTGGAGGAGTGCCAGCTCGATCTCAAGGGGAGAAAATGGGCCACCGAGGCACACGAATACCTGCAGAGCGTGACAAAAGCAATATCGCAGGCCAACAGTCAGCACTTYCTTTCGAAAAAAGAAGGGCAGCCCTACTCGCTTCGGGACCGGGCCGACAAGGTGGTGCASATCGAAAAGCTTCCGGCCATGTCGAAGAACAACAATGTCGGGATCACGGTGGAACCCATCGGGTGCACCAAGAGCCAGTTCGGATGGACCAAAAAAGCCGGAAATGCCCAGATGCTGCCAACCTTTTCCTTGATGGTCAAGCTCCCCGTGGAATTCTTTTCCCCCAAGGACTATCTGAAGCATAGGTATTTTGACGTAAGTACGAGCTGCGCTGGATGCGAAAGGGATCTTGTCCCGGATGGTTTCACCGTCTGCCAGAAATACAACGCATCCTGACCAAATAGCCATTTTTTTTTTCCCGGGCACCACAGAAACGCAACTTCATCATGGACAAGTTTGCCGTATACCTGGCAAAACACGCCGACAAACTGGGAAGCGTAGAGTACAAATGGGGAAAGGGATCGAATCGGTCCCCCTATTTGCAACTGGTGCCCAACCCAGCAGCGGCCTCATCGTCGAAAAGCAGCAAGCCGAAAGCAGCGAAATTTCAGGTTCACTTGCATTTTGGCATGCAGTCCATTCACTGGATTCCGCAGCTGCGGCTCGTGCCGAACCGATGCAACATCCGAAACAGCGACGGCGACTCGCCATCCGACGCCCGTGGCAAATTAATCGAAAGCCAGCTGTACAACCAGAGCCTGTTGTTTGATGCACGGCACGAGTTCGAAGACGAACAATTGTCGTCGGAAGAGCTAACGGATCACCCTAACGTCGAGGCGACACTGGTTMTGATTCAAATCTGGGCGCTCCAGCGCGGTCTGTGGAGGAACCACGATGGTTGGACCAAGGAAAACGTTGCCCTGTTTTTGCTYTAYATGCTGAGGACGAACCGAATGAATCCCCGCATGACCCCGATCCAACAATTCACTGTCGTTTTACAAATGTGGTCCACAACCAACTGGCTGGGAACAAGGGCAACCAAGGGGGATGGAGGAAACCACCGCGTCGTACGGGGGTCCCAGAGCGAAGCCACCCAGTACTCGAAAGCCAAACGCGGTCGGCGGGATGTATTGGTTCTGCCGGAAGAGGACAGCACCGAAAAGGAAACCATACGGAACTCCGATCTGGCACGACTCTATGAGAAACAAACCAGGGAGTCGCCCCTAACGGACAACGATCCTTCCACACTCATCGAAGCCTACGCTAGTACGGAGCATTACAGTCTTGGTCCCGTCATGCTGGATCCAACCATGACSTACAACTATCTGGGTGACGTGTCCGTGAATTTTATGAAACTGCTACAACTTCACGCGACAAAGTCCTTGGCGGGCCTCAAAGCATCACGGTCTGCGTTTTCGAACATGTTTATGAAAAATGCTCGTTTTTGGAGCCAGTGGGATATCTATGTTAAAATCCCTCTGAGAAAGAAGAACGATGATTGGGAACCGTCGAGTCGCTGCTTGCTCGAAAAACTGGAACTTGCCCTCGGCAATCGCGTTCGTGGGATGCGAGTACTGAGTACAGGAAACGGAGACAAGACYCTGGAAAAGAACGACTTGGATCAGATTCCATCCATTGCCATCGATAAGGACTCGTCTTACAAAGAGCGTTCGACCAATCTGCCGCCAACCGAAAGAGGAGAAATTATTTTGGGAATCGCTATTGATCCAGAAACCAGCCAACGAGTTGTCGACCGTGGACCACCCTCTGACCAGCAGAAAGAAGTGAAGACTTTTGTTCAGCTTTGGGGAAGCAAAGCGCAACTCAGGCGTTTCAAGGATGGAGCAATTGTGCAAGCTGTCGTGTGGAATGATGACGACGACAAAGATCACTATCAAAATGAAGTTAGATTGCAGGGAGGGTACATAAACAAGATTGTGCGCCATATTGTACGACTTCATTACACGAAAGAAAAAATTGAWTTTGCACTACCGAACCTGATCTCTTTGGTGGACGGGATATCGAACAATAAGCAAGATGCTTTCRMCCAACTTTGCAATCCAGTCTTGGCACACCAACATGTGATGAAAGCATTTGAATCTCTATCCCAATTTTTGCGTTCAGGCAGTCAGGGGTCGCAGTATAGACAACAGAACCAAGTGTTCTTAGATCTTCCCTTGTCAATTGATGGCGTAGAACCCTTATCTTCTTGTCTAAGATATTCAGAACTCTTTCCTCCGGTGCCACACCCTTTTCTCGGAGGAAGTTCGACTCCTAATAACAAGAAAGTGTCAGGCGCCATCATGTCGGACCCAGTTTTAATCCAGATCCGATTTGGAGCATCATCGAAGTGGCCTTCRGATCTCAAGGCAATTGGAGCCGCAAAAACCGCTATGTTGATTCAAATTGCCAATGCTATCGAGGGCGTGAACAGTAGAGACTTCGATGGCCCGATCCATGTCACTCCAAATTATCTTGACCTAGGATACAAGGGCTACTGTTTCCGTGTTCTCATTCGTGCTGATCCGGAGATTAAAATGCTACAGGGACTTGTAAGACCGAGCCCAGTGGCTACTTCTCTCCTGAAATCACTCACTAGGGCTCATGTTGTAGCAGCAAAACACMACTCAATGATACACGCCGTTCACACCTTGCATCCATCTGCAGCAAGCGTTGTTCGACTGGCGAAAAGATGGGTCGCAAATCACATGCTGTCAGGCTTAATCGCACCTGAGGCAATCGAATTGATGGTTGCAAAGGTCTACTCAGATGACGAGACTCCACTTGAGACCCCGTCGACGGTGACGGCAGGATTCGTCAGATTCCTTCATTTGTTGGCATACCATGACTGGTTAGGGTAAGTACTCTGTGTGTTGTCTTATGCAAAATCGACAAGAWACGGTGTTTCACTACTCTTTTGCTYACTAGATTTTGAATTTTTCACACTCCWTCATCTATCAACAACTCCTAAACGCACAGTGAACCACTTATAGTAGATCCAAGAGGTCACATTGAAAGCGTTGACTGCGATGAAATCCATCTTCAGTTCGAAAAGGCGAGGGGGAAGAAAGGAGAAGCGGGTCATCCGATGTATATAATTGCACCGTACGACAAGTTGGAAATAGACGAAGAAGACCCGATGAATCAAAACACTGTCAAAACCTCAAACGAAACGTCATGGCAGCCAAACACTATCTCACCCGAATGGGTCTGTCTGACGCGTTCGGTAGCCTTAGCAAAGCGTTCATATTCCTTCATGATGAAGAAACTATTGATTTTTGGAAAGTCAAATGATTGGTCGGCGATATTCCATGAGAGYCCTGCATCTTTCCAATCATATAGTGTATTATTGCGCACGAATACGGAATTCGTGGTCGACATGGAAACTTCTTCAACAGGTAAAAATTTGAATCCTTCCCCCAACGAGCATGGAACACTTACAACATCATATACTAAGAGCATGAAGGCTAGAATCGAAGGTCCAAAGGGTCTTCGTCGCAAGATTTACAAAAATATTCAAAATAATGCCTCCGATGAAACTATTTTACTTTGGCAGCCTGTCCAGGATGTAATCTCATCCTTGAGAGAAAAGTTTGGTGCATACGCTCTATTCTTCTACAATGAGCTTTCCCCTGAAGTCATTGGAATTGTTTGGCGACCCCAAACTATTGCAACGATGGCCTTTTCTGCCATGACTGCGGARTACGCRAGACCGTTCGATGACAACGAAAAGAGCTGGAAAAACGATAGTCTTGTCGTCCGAAATGCTATAGATTTGCTTCGTGAGATGAGCGAGTACTATCAATATATCATCACGACGGTAAAAATCATTGACGAGTCTTGTTTGGGACCTTCCTCCAAGCGGCGTAAACTATTGGTGTCCGATGACAAAAAAAGTGAGGAGAAAGATAATGAAGACAGTTTGACTGAGTAGACGTGATTGAGTACATCCAATATGTTCCTGCGGACAATCTACTAGCACAGAAGCATGATAAATTAGAACCAATATGATGRACGCTTCACAGGGAAAAACACCTAATGTCTTTCGTTATTATCAGAGATTACAGTGTTTTACATTATGATGTTACAGTTTCGTTTCCCCCGACATCCTAAAATTTCTCTACCCCAACGCATTTTCGATGTAAAAGCTTCCTCTCTACTACTATTCGAAGGCAAAACTTTTCACCCTTTTACTTTGTAGAATAAAATGAGT